CCAAAGGGGGGGGGGGAGGGCAGCCAAAAATGTTTTTGCTTGGGGCAGCAAAAAACCTGGCTCCTGCTCTGCTCCAGTTTATTGCACCCAGCGTGGGTCAGTCCCATCTTGCAGGGTCAGGGTTCTGGGACTGGAAACCCTCCTCAGCCCCACTGTCACACCCAGGAAATGCTCAGTTCCTCTCCCCATGCCCTGCGCGCACACACCAGTGTCTCTCCAGCCCTGAGCTGAGCGGTGACCACGCCTGAGGCTGGGAATTCCTGTGCTGCTGCTCCAGTTTATTGCACCCAGCGTGGGTCAGTCCCATCTTGCAGGGTCAGGGTTCTGGGACTGGAAACCCTCCTCAGCCCCACTGTCACACCCAGGAAATGCTCAGTTCCTCTCCCCATGCCCTGCGCGCACACACCAGTGTCTCTCCAGCCCTGAGCTGAGCGGTGACCACGCCTGAGGCTGGGAATTCCTGTGCTGAGCCAAGAACCCAGCTCCCAGCCCGGAGCCACCGGCTCAGCATGGAGCTAACTCTGCTCCTGCCGCTGCTGGGTAAGTGCCCCCCTCGGCCCCCAGCCCCTCTATGTGTCTGTCTGTCTGGAGACTCCCCCAGCCCTGCCCTGTGTCCCCATCCCCTCCCCAGAGCTCTCACCCCCTCTCTGCTCTTCTCTTCCAGCCTCGCTCCAGAGTCTCCCCAGGCCGGTGTCCCCCTCAGGTAACGAGGGGGTCGGTGGGGGAGGGAAGAGGGGTCCTGGCAGTGGGGCTGGGGTCCTGCTCCTCTCACTCCGTGGGGCTGAGAAGTGCAAGGAAGGGGGGAGCTTCCCCTGACATCCATGGGGGTGGAAGGGTCTCCATCTGGTGCCTGCTGGGAAGGTCTGTTGGGTGGGTGCCAGCCCAGGCCACAGGGGAGAAGCTGCCCCCAGTCCCATGGGCACGACCCACCCCATGGGCTCCCACCGAGGGCTCAGGGCCAGGGGCACAGACCCGGCACCGCCAAGCAGGGCAGTAAAAGCAGGTTCTGCAGAGTCTGCAGAGTCAACAGGATGGGTGGAGAACATCCCCTTCCCTTCCCCACATCTGCCCAAACTTCCTCAGTTCTGCTCAGTGCTTGCTGGCCACTGCTGGGCAGGGCTGATGGTCGGCTGATGGAATCTCCCCTCACTTCTGCCTCTGCCCCCGTGGGGTGAATCCCCTGGTGGGAATTAGGGTCTTTCGGTTGATCCACTTGCATTATGAAGCCTCGCCCCTTTCTGCTCCCCACTGCCCCCCAGACACAGCGTGGGGGGACTTGCGGGGACCCAGGTGGAGGAAGGTCCCTCCCATGCTCAACCTGCCCTTAGCCAGCTCCCTGGGTGGACAGAAGAGATCCCAGGGGCATGGAGGCCCCATGAAGGACCCTTCCTGCCCCAGCTCCTCTCCCCTTGACCTGGTGCCCGGTGGGAAAGGCAGAATCTCTCCTGCACTTCTGCCTGACTAGCACCGGGCCCTGCCCACCCTGCCTCCTGTCCTGTGCACAGCAGGTGGGGCAGCAGACCGGGGGTGACTGGAGGGGTATGTGGGTGGGGCAAGCTGTCCACGGGAGGCCTGAGGTTGCACAGATGGGCAGCGGTTTCAAGTGAGAGATCCCAGGTGCTCAAGCCGTTAAGCGAAACACGGAGAAGGGCACCTATGGCTCCTCCATTGGACAGACACAGATCTCCAAGCAGCCAGAGCCTGGGAGCTGAACCCAGAGCGATCAGACAGGAAATCGGGGCAGATGTTAACTGTGAGGGGGATGAACCCCGGGGACACTTCCCCAGGGGCCGGGGCGGATTCCCAGCGCTGGTGGTTTGTGAAGGAGCCTGAACGTGTTTCTCAGAGCTCGGCTCTAGGTCATGGAGGGATCCATTCGGGGGAGACCCACAGGGCTGGAGAGAGCCAAGGCCTGGCTATTGGCCGTGGGGTGTTTCCCCCAGGCAGGGAGCTGGGGCAGGTCTGTGCCCGTGTCTGTCTGCGACTCATCACTTCTCCCTCCCCATGCTGGCCTGGCCTCTCCCTCTGCCTCTGTCCTAGGTCTGCCGGCCCCCACACTAGCTCTGGAACATCAGCTCACAGTGCTTCTGCCCGGGCAGACAGCTACACTGACGTGCCAACCTCCTGGGCATGTGCAGCCTTCGGGATACAGATTCTTCTGCCAGAGAGGGCAGCAGGGCCCCAGCGCAGTCCCACGTGATAAGGAAGGAGACATGCTGGTTCTCACAGCTGAGAAGGGAAGTGCCGGGACCTACACCTGTGCGTACTGGACAGAGGGACCCAATGGACCAGTCTCTAAGAACAGCAACTCCGTCTCCATCTCCATAGCAGGTGAGCCCCTTTTCCTGCGCTTGGACGGGCGAGTCCCCGGGAATCCAAAACCCCCCTGACACCGGCGCTTGGACGGGCGAGTCCCCGGGAATCGAAAGCCCCCCTGGTATGCCAGCCTCACCCTTGTCCTTGGTCCAGCCATTCCCAGCATCTCAGACACACGGTGATGCCTCAGCCAGCCTTCGGGATACAGATTCTTCTGCCAGACAGGGCAGCAGGGCCCCAGCGCAGTCCAACGTAATGCGGCAGGAGACGAGCTGGTTCTCAGAGCGGAGAAGGGAAGTGCCGGGACCTACACCTGTGTGTACTGGACAGAGGGACCCAATGGACCGGTCTCTGAGCACAGCAACTCCGTCTCCATCTCCATAGCAGGTGAGCCCCTTTTCCTGCGCTTGGACGGGCGAGTCCCCGGGAATCCAAAGCCCCCCCGGTTCTGCTGCCCCACCCCTGTCCTTGGTCCAGCCATTCCCAGCATCTCAGACACTTGGTGATGCCTCAGCAGGTTCCACCAGGGCAGTGGCAGGGCACTGCTGTGGGGAAGCTCACAGCACTACAGTCCTGTATGGGCACTGTCAGTGCTCAGCATTCAGAGCAAAGGCACCATAATAACACCCGGTTCTATTCTGGCAGAAATTTGGTCTCTATAGGGGTCCTCAGCCCCAGTGGAGTCACCAGCTGGTGCTCACAGCTCACACAGACATCCCCCTCCCTCCCGCCGTCCCTCCCGTGATGTGCGGTGGGCAGCCCAGCCATCGGATCCCACGCACAGGCCCTGCCCCTGTGGGGTAACATGTGGGCACAGGGCAGAGTGGGACTCAGTGAGGAACAGGGGTGCAGGGTGTGTCCCACGGAGAACTGTCCATCCCCCAGTAACTGAGATGAATTGAGTGTGAAACCATTTGTCCCATAGTGCCCAAGTCCTCCCAGATCCCTGCTTGGTCACAGCTTAGGTCTATACCTGACCCTGAACCCTAGCTCCCAGCCCCCCTCAGGCCCCAGCTCCATCCCGGAGCCTGGATCCCACTTGCTCCTCCCACAGAACCTGTTCCCTGCGATGCCCGGCTGGCCCTGGGGTCACTAACTTGTACAGTTCTGCAGCCACAAGCCCCACAGCCCCATGTCCCAGTGCCAGTGTGGGGCCAGTGCCAGTCTCATGGGGTCAGGGGCTGGGGGCTGGACCCCCCAGCCCATCACTCCCCATTTGTGCAAAGCTCCCCATGCCCAGTAGAGCCTCGAACGTGAGTATGAAATTCACATGCACACATGCACACACGCTGCTGCTGGGCCAGGGGCCGGGCTCAGAGTCACTGACGGGAACGAGAGACACGCTCAGGCCATGAGAGTCCCCAAAGGTCACCAAGGAGCCTGCAGGGAGACCGGACTGAGATACATGACCCACAGCGCCACTGGCCTCCATGGGGTCAGGTCCACAGCTGGGTCAATGGGTCGTAGCTCCATTGGAGTCAGTGGGGTTGTCTTTTCCAGCCCCCCAGCTCACCGTGTCCCCGCCGCAGCCTGTCTACGTGGCCGGGGAAGCCGTGACCCTGACGTGCTCAGCTGCCGGGGTGGACAGACTGACCAGGTTCCGGTTCTACAGGGATGAAGATGAAATCCAGCCCAAGGAATCCGTGTTAATCCCGTACCGTCATGTGGCCTCCATCCAGCTGTCGAGTGTGGCCATGTCGGACGCGGGGGTGTACAGCTGTGAATACTGGCGCAGGATGGATGACAAGAAAGGACCAGACATCGTATCAGAGAGGAGCCAAAACATCTCCATAGCAGTGACAGGTGAGCCCCCCGGCTGCTGCTGTTTGCTGGGCCGGGGGTCTGCTCCTTCCAGGGAGGGAGATGCAGCCCAGTCAGTGAGCCAGTGACAGGAACATCCACTGGGTCAGATTCACCCCCCAGTTCTGGCTCCCACAGTGGGGTGGGACGGGGCATTGGAGCTACCATGGGACTGTGGAGTTCCAGCCTGCAGTAACATTAGAAACCTGGGGGGTATTTAACTAAACAAATCCCAGATTGTTTCTAGTCAATATTAGGCCTGCAGTCAGACAACTGGGAGTCGGGTGCAGCTCTCCAGCGGCAGGAGTAGACCACTGTGCGGCAAGGTCGTAGCCCTGGGCACTGCTGTGGGAAGTTCCCAGCCCTGTCATCCAGGCTGACAGGAACCAATTCCAAGCCCTCCCCAGAGAGTAGCCGTCAGTGGCTCCCAGCCATGTTGGGCAGCTGAGTGAGTGGAGGGGTTTGGCGGGGGGAAGAGACCAGTTCCCGGACATGGTTCTGTGTCATTCACCATCATCATCAATGATTAGATAAGGGCACAGAGTGGACCCAGCTGGGGGTGTGGCCGCTGTTTGGGAAGGCAGGGTTACAGTGCAGACTGATCCGGGCTAACGGGAGAAAGGGTCGGAGGCAGATCGGATGAAATTCAAGAAGGACAGAGGCAGAGTCCTGCTCTTGGGAAGGAACAATCCATGTCACGCACACAGAATGGGAAGCGAAAATTTTTTTTCTGGCCTGAATCAAAGGGCGGCTGTGGGACATGAGAAGTCATTTTCCTGCTCTGCCCCCCCCCCGTCAATGAGATCTCCGCTGGAGCGCTCTGCCCAGTTCTGGGGGCCACATGTCAGGAGAGATGTGGGGCAATTGGAGCGCTTCTCCCCACAACCCTGGTGGCCCCTGGGGTCACTGACACACAGGAATCACAGGCAAGAAACTCTCCAGCGCCGGCTACTCCCTCTTGGTGCATGGGCATGATGAATGCCCATCAGACTGAGTCATGGTCTGAGGATTGGAAACCAGCCTCATCATGCCCCTTCCCCCATGCCTCAGCTCCCTGTGACAGAAAGGAACAATCCATGTCACGCACACAGAATGGGAAGCGAAAATTTTTTTTCTGGCCTGAATCAAAGGGCGGCTGTGGGACATGAGAAGTCATTTTCCTGCTCTGCCCCCCCCCGTCAATGAGATCTCCGCTGGAGCGCTCTGCCCAGTTCTGGGGGCCACATGTCAGGAGAGATGTGGGGCAATTGGAGCGCTTCTCCCCACAACCCTGGTGGCCCCTGGGGTCACTGACACACAGGAATCACAGGCAAGAAACTCTCCAGCGCCGGCTACTCCCTCTTGGTGCATGGGCATGATGAATGCCCATCAGACTGAGTCATGGTCTGAGGATTGGAAACCAGCCTCATCATGCCCCTCCCCTCCTTGTCCTTCCCAGCCCCACTCCCGACCCCTCAGCTCAGCGTGTCCCCGCAGCAGCTGGGCTACGTCACTGGAGAATCGATCACCCTGACATGCTCAGCCTCGGGGGCGCCCAGCGACTCCATGATCCGCTTCTACAAGGACGGCCAGACACTGCTCCCCGAGGAACTCTGCCTCCACCCGCACCAGGCCACCGCCTCCGTTCGGCTGTCGGCGCCGCCGCAAACCAGCACCTACACCTGTGGGTGCTGGAGAGTAGAGTCCGGGCGAGTGATCGAATCAAAGAGGAGCCGGCCCATCTCCATAGCAGTGATGGGTGAGCCCCTCTGTCTGCTGGGGTCTGCTCGCCTGGGTGGGGTCTCTCCTCCAGCCACAGGGGAAAGTGCCTCTCAGTCCCTCAGTGCCCCACAGCCCCCCACCCTCCAGGGCAGTTTCTACCCCATCTCAGAATCTTCATGTCCTGAGGCTCTGCTGCCTCCTGACCCAGTGCCAGCACCCATGCCCCAGGGTCCCTGCTGTCCATAGGCATGGAAGCAGGAGCTGCCACACTGAGGTGCTGGGCTTGAAACCCCACAGGGCTCAGACTTCCTCCTAACTCCAGGATCTGGTCTGTCACATGGCCCTTGGGGGCAGGGTGTTGCTCACACTGGGACAGGGACCCCTCACTCCCAGACTCAAACCGGGAACCTCTACACTTCGGGAGGGTAGAATCCCAGCAGCGAGTCTGGTGGGGGGGGGGATCCCCACACACCCCGAAATCTGTCTGCAGAGGGTTCCATGAAACTCAGAGGTGGGGCATTAGCAGGAGATGATTTGTGGCCTGGTGTCCATGGCAGTTTCTGCCCTCCCACTCCAGCCCCACAATGGATCTGTGAGAAACCACCACCACCCCCCAGCTGAGCGCTTGCTTATTTCTGTGCAGAGACCCCCAGTCCTGAGCTGAAGCAAGAGGCTCTGGAGACAGAGCAGGGGGCAGCTCTGAGTAAGTTGAATTCTTGGCACCAGCTCCTCTTTCCCCCCTGCCCTATGCCTGCTGACCCCTCCCCTTTGCTGCTCCCCACAGATCCCCTTCCCCCGCCAGTGCTGAGCGTGGATCCCCCGTCTGGAGCGGTGAGCGAAGGGCTCCCCCTGCTCCTCACCTGCATGGCCCCAGGGAACACCGGCGAGAGGAGGTTTCCTTCCTACAAGGGTGGCTCTGTGACCGTCTCCGTGACCCGCGTCCTCAGGGCTGGTCCCAGCAACGTGGTTGAATTCACCTGCGGGAACAAGGAGAATGTGAGCGGGAGGTGGAGCCCGTCCTGCACACGCCAGGCTGTGAACATCACTGTGGATGTGGCTGTGTCAGGTGAGGCAGCCCTTGGCTCCTTATTTCTCCCCAGAGTGAACCAAAGCCACTTCTAACCTCCCACCCTCCACTTACCGGGCTGTCCGGGCAG